GTATCACAATTTTCAAACAATCAATGTGCACAAAAATGTTTCGAAACACAAAGAATACCAACTTTGTTTTAATGATCAATAAAATCAAATAATATAGTATAAATAACTCTATTAAAATTGCTCAATTTAAATATAAATACTTCTTCAAACGAAGTCTTAAAGAAGTATTATTATTATTTTATGATTATAATAATAAGACTTCAATTATTATAATTAAATATCTCGTAAAAAGTCTGGCTTAAATGATAAATTTTATTTTATAACAAACAATAATTTATTGTTGTTATTATTCATTTTTATTATAATTCATAAAAATATCGAGCCGAACAAAGAATTCAATTATATCAAGACGCCTTTATTTATAATCAAATCCTGAAATTATACATGTAATACACCAAAGTAATGGTTGTGATGGTTCTAATTATGTTTTCACTTTGACACTTTAACATGGGGTATTATTCAATTTACTGGTGGGTAAATAAGAGACAAGCTGCTTTGAACAATTTCTGCAAAATGTTGGTAACTTGAAGTTGATGTATGAAGTTTAAATTTGTTTTAACTTGGTTGCCTTAATTGTTTTTTTAGTTTTTTGGTTTTTGAATTAAAATAAATTAAAAAACAAATCATTTGTATGATTTTGGTTTCATTGTCTTTTATGTTTGCTAAATCATCATTATAATTACAAAACAAACATCAAGTAATTTAAATTGAATTGTTTGTAAAGAAAACACAAGCACAACAACAAAATACTGTATTTATGAAGTCGCAACTCCTAAAATGCCCAGTCTAAAATTTTTCAAAAGATAATAAAACATAATTTCTCAAAATTGTTTTTTTGAATGTTTTTAAAAAAAGTTTTGGCTTTTTATTGTTATTGTAGCATGTATAACGAAAATTATATTTAGTAAATGAAATTAAATATGAAATTTATCTAATAAAGAAAACTTAAATATATTTTTAAATACATCAAAACTAATGTTGAATTATAATTTCCATAAAAATCGAAATGAACAAAAATAGAATTTTTGTTTATTTTTTTTCAAATAATTAAAGTCAAAAAATGAGCAATAAAAAATAGGAAAAGAATGAATAACGAATAATTTACACATTGTATTTAAACTGATATAAATGGTATCGATTTGTAGCTTTGTGAAGACAAAGCCCCCAAGTCACTTTTCTGATTGTATTTAGACCAACTCAAATAGCTGTAGACTGTATACAACTACATGAAGACATAACCTTAAGTTCCTCTTGTGCTCCAGACCCTGCTCAATTTTTATACACCGTTTTCGACTCGTGTATGTTTTATCTATTATTTCAATTGTCGAGTTTAAATAGTTCTTGATGTTCAGAACAAAATATTATAGCATTTTTATTATAAAATATAACGATTTTTGAAAGGACAAATCAAGATAATACGTTATAAAAAACCTGTGGAATGAAAAGAAATATTTGGAACACAAAACCACAAGGTAAATTTTTGCTTTTTGCAAATTGTGTAATGCCACGTAAATACATGGCATTATCGTTCTTGACTGATATTATTAATAGTTTTTTAAATTAAGTTTATACTATTGATTTTTTTAAAACACAATTGATTAATATAATATATGTTATCAAATAATAATAAAAATAATGAACAATAAAA